ATAGCAATCGATAAGCCCTTCAAAAGTTAATTATTCAAATTGAGAGACATTTAATAACCAATAGAAGGAAGTAGTAAAACAATATCTTATTTGAAATATTAGTTATTAAAACAACAATTTAAATAATGTTATCATTACTGTAGAGGTAATTGTTATATAACTCATAAAATCTATCAATTATATGCTAACATTTAATTTTATATAACAAACAATGATATGATTTGCTGAAATATAATTTGATTAAAAAAAAGACAACACATAAATGTTAGTAATCAATGATTACTAATCATCAGTTAAGTAATCTATGCTATTGTTTAATCATTGATTACTAAACGTATTCTGTGACATACATTGAATATTTAACTGTCAAACTATTTATAAAAATACTCCAGAATTTTGAAAAATAGTGTACAAATGAACAATGTACAAAATGCAAGAAATATTTGCAATTAACATTGAAATGGGCAAAAAGTAACAACAACTCAATAATAAGTGTAAATACCATTAAAATGCAGTGACAATAAAGTATATGACTGTGTATTTTAAGTAAAAAATCACTAAAATATGAAATCTCATACCCTATGAATCGGCGGATTCTGTGCCGACAAATAACGAATAGACGAATCATTGCGTAAACTATTAAATAATACCAAAGACTGTTTCAAACGTCTCATTGAATTATACATTTAGGACACAAATATTATGACAATTATCTTTAGGTTTTGTGAACACAATTTTAAATTTTGAAAGTATTGTCTCACATTTCAAACCTAATTACTATTTTCAAACCAATCTCGCGACAAGAATACACTCTTGGTTATTTCAGTATAATTTATTAAAAGCATTAAAAGTAAAAATTAAAATACAAACTAATAATTTATTTTGCAAACTAATTATTCAAAAATATATTTACATCATATATATGTATAAAAATCAATTTGAATTAGTTTCCAATTAACGCCATATATAAATAACATGGTAGAAAACAATACAATAAAATGATTATAAATTATAGTTAAAAATGTTGTTAATTCATTGCAAGCAATTCAATGCAAACGACACGCTCTGATGAGGAGAAGGATTAACAAAATAAAAAGCGGCGAAAGGATCTCCGAGTGTGTCATATGCTTCTGTCCCTCGAGTTTAAAACAGAGCAACAGTTTTGATAAAAACAATAGCAATATCTGATTGAAACTCCAAACGGCACGAAATAATGCCATCTTATATTTGCCGTCCAAATACTGGCGAATGAATACAATTATACAGAAATAGCTGAGCAGAGCGTCGCACATGAAGAGCGGCGAGTGGACGGTCCACCACCCCATCCACTCACCACCCAATTCGGTGTCACATTTCAGCGTTAATAGTATTGTATAGATTAGTATCGACACCAGAATCATGAATATCTCAAACACCGTTACGCCAAACCATTTGATTATCTCATCGAATGACAGAATCATTTCGATTGTTCACCAATTTATTGAGTTTTATTAGTTTTTGTGTGTTTTTTATTAATCTATATATTGTTCTGATATTTTGTTAATCAATCCGTTGGCCGTCTCTTCGCGTGCTTTAAACTCTTCTTTCAAAAGTCGCAACTTTTCGCGCTTTTTGTTTCGTTTGGAAAACTTTTCGGTTACCAATCGATGCCGCTGTGCGGACACACTCTGGTCACCGTTCATCAATTGATCCAATTTATCGACAAGAAGTTCTCGGGCCAACACTCGGTTCCGGTGCTGCTCGCGATTCACGTGACACTTCACCACAATTCCTATTCATTTGTAACAAAAATAGTTTTAATTATTGTTTACAATATAAGACGGTTATCAATCACACGAACTGATCCACAGACCTGTTGGCAAATGAGTCAATTGGACACAATTGGAGAGTTTGTTCACGTTCTGACCTCCGGGTCCACTGCCGTGAATGAACTCCTCTCTCAGTTCCTTCTCATTAATGACCGGAACTTTTGATTTGTCGACTTTCGGCTTATTTAGCGGCCAATGGTTTGTCGAAAAAGCGACGAATATATTGTGACTAAACGTCGGATTCACTGCACGAATACATTGTTTGCCGTAATTGGAGATAATTGTTGACATTTGTTGTCCACAAAGTTTTAAGAGACAAAACACAGACACAAACAGAAACTAATGTTTGACTAAATTAAACGCTTTTTGTTGAGAAATTCAATGCCTTTCTGTTGTAATGAAAAACACAATCAGTAATTAAAGCATTAAATGGCGGATCAATTAAACAATTATCACCACAAATACAGACCCGATAGAAGAATTTGATGTCTTCCTCTTGGGTGAGGTCGCGGTGTTTGCGGAACTCTTGTCTCACTTTATTGCGGTAGAAGTGTTTGTCGGTGTAAACCAATTGTCGCGAGTATTGCATGAGTTGTCGGAAAAGTCTAAGTTTGTCCACACGTGACACACAGACCATCATCGATGAGGGCTGGATATGGACTCAATGGTCACTCAAAGAGAGTACACAAACACAACACAACACAAAGTCATAGGAAAGGATCGCAACCGCAATGAATGCAATGCCTATTAAATGCAATCGATTCGACCCTTCAATCGCTTTCAATGCTTTTCAATGCCTTTTCAATGGCTTTCAATGGTTTGTGAATGGAGTGCACAGAGGGAGCAAAGGGACAGCTATGAGGATGTAGGAGAGAGAGAGAGGGAGAGGGAGAGGGAGAGATGATTGTGAGTGAGAGAGAGAGAGAGAGAGCTGTTGGGTTGGCGCATGTGTTTTGGTAGTGTTTGATGGGTTGTATGGTTTGTATGGGTCTTATGTATGGCTTGTATGGATCGGTAGTGTATTTGCAAATGAATATCAATTACTATATAATCATAATATTTAGTAATCATAATAATAATGAGTGAAAACACAAATGCAAACCAAACGGATGTGTTGTTTGAGTGCCGTTCGCGCCGTCGATGGCCAGTAGTGCGGGTGAAGTGACCGACACTACCGCTCATCCCATCCACCGATCCATTGGTGTTGCGCTCTCTTCGCGCAGACATTTGATTGTCATTTGCAGACATCTTCACCGCTCAGACACTATCATCGCTTCCACCGCCGACTCGATGGCCACCCAATGGCCGACACAGTGTCCGCTCGGATGCAACCAATGCTTCCCATAAATTGATGTCTTAATATGAATTGATTGAATCGTTTTGCAAAACACAAACACAAATCATTTGCAGAAGAAATAAACGGTTAATTGTTTTGGGATTTAATGATGACTTTAAATATCTTATGTATGTTTGGACACAATATTGTCGCCAATAATAGCAGTGTATGTAATAAGTGAACAGTCGATCAATGGATACAATGAGTGGACAACTACTGGTTAGCGACCGGATTGCCGGCCATCGGCGGGCGTCCGACTGTTGTCGACAACAGTACCGATCGGTTTGACCACAACTGCGAGCCGTATGATAGAGACGAAGACGTGTTTCAGTCAAAGCCACCATTGGGTCTGTTTTAGTGATGTGTCGCCCGATCTGGTGTCCCAGTGGTCACCATTGCCCTGAAGTAAGTGATGATTGATTGATATACCATATTATGGCACCATTTCGGCCGCCAAACCCATCATAACCTTATCATTGATTATATTTATTGCAAACATTTATCGCATTTAAATTTAACGCTGAAATAATTAATGCAATCAATAATTAGTGGCAAACAAAATGCAAATAAAATATTTGTTTTATTTAATAACGGCTTAAATAACCAAAAGATTATTAATTATTTGCATAATTAAAGCAAATGATTAGTGGAGAAAGCAATGGCCCGAAGAGTTTAGTCCAACGAAAGCAGAGAAAAAAGGGTAGAAATTAAAGATTGCATTTGAAGAGCATTTATAAGTTATTAGACGCGAGATTAGACTCAACGATAAGTTGATTAGTTTTTTGTGTGTTATGTAATAGTGTTGTGTGTGTTTGTGAGCCCATTATAATCGCATTATAAAAAACAATACTTATTATTAGTTTTAATCTCCTCTCGTCGTAGGGATTCATTTCTATGGCAAATAACAATAATATGTGTTTTGTGTGATGTCTCTCACATCTCACCACCGATTCATCTCTCCTTTACATACCTGTTCCTACAGTCTTCTCTCTCTCTCTCTCTCTCTCTCTCTTCCTTTCACTGCTATTTTTATTTAATCTATTAATTAATTATATGGCCGGCAATCCGGTCGCTAACCAGTAGTTGTCCACTCATTGTATCCATTGATCCGGTGATCGACTGTTCACTTATTACATACACTGCTATTTTTATTTAATCTATTAATTAATTATGTTTTTGGTATTAAATGTTTTTTAATTAATTCATTAGACGCTTATTATTGAGAGAATTTGTTTGAATTGACATTTTATGAAAGTTATGATTATTTTTGCTTATTTTTGTTAGCAATTCTGGTAATGATTGAGCCATAGCTCTGGGCGTTTAGATGTATTTTTAGTCCCGTTTTTGTATTGCAATACACGTAAAGAATTGGGAGAATTGATATTTAAAACCTTATTTTAGAGTTAATATAAACACTGGTATATAATAAACACGTTTACAAAACACTAGTTTTATTAGTTTAATGTGCGATTTGGGTGTTATATCCACACAAATATTGATAAATCATTATATTGTTGTTGTCTGTTGTGTAGGATATGTACAGTATAGTTATCTGTAGATGTGTTGTACATTTATTTGAGTAATGATTATTTATTAAATTTTATTATAAAGCAATTATAAAATATAATTATTATTTTATAATTTGCGAAAACTCATCATTAATTGCATTTATGGCTGACTTTCGGGTGAGATTTGAGTCCTAAATACTAATAAATGATATGTGAGTAGAGATATAAAACCCGCATATATTGGCTGTCATTTGCTATTAAGATATCTTTATAAATGCTGTCTTCATATCACTGTTGATCAATGTATAGGAATTGAAGGAATCTTTATTATTGTATAGCATTGTTGTAATTTTAAAGTTGATTTCAATTGTGATTTATTATTTTTTAAGTATTTCTTTATACTTGAAGTACAAAATGGTTTGCAATAATTTAAATTTCAAAGTAAATATAGATATTGCTATTGCGGGCAAAGGGATGGCCAACCCATCAAACCATTGAAATATATAGTGTTTTTTATATAAAATGAGAGATTTCTGCTCAGAATTGAGTATTTATATGACATTTTTAAAGACAAATTGTAACGAAAAAGAAATCCTTTTATATAACATTTTGACGCTATAGTGAGATGAGTTGCAAAAGCCCTGTGCGCTGGGATTTGCATCTCTGCTCCGATAACCTGCGGCGGGTTTTATAGCCATATATGATGTACTGTTGGATGTGTTGATGGTATGGTATGCGATGGTGTGTAGTGTTTAGGGTTTTGATAGGATAGGATGGGTTGGCGATGCCATACAGTACTGTTTGCGGTGGTGTTTGCCATTTGATTGAAGTGATGTATTGACCATTTGATTGGTATGATTACAGGGCCTGACATGTATGCTTGTGTTCGCTATATTCTCGGCTGTGTTGGGAATGTTTCAGTTTGGATACAACACTGGAGTGATTAACGCGCCTCAGAAGGTAAATATATATTACATACTTTTATATATACCTCTCTCTCTCTCTCTCTCTCTCTCTCTCTCTCTCTCTCTCTCTCTCTCTCTCTCTCTCTCTCTCTGACTCTTAAATAAATTGATNTATAAAAACATATTAATTTTCTCTAATAATCATATATTTCCCCATCTTTCACCGCCTCTAACACACACTTCTAAGTTTCGATATTTGTTTGGTTTAACAAATAAGTACACGAATTGACGTTTAAATAATAAGACGTCGATAATAATAATAATATATCTCAACCGTTGAGACATTTTCATACATAATATATGAAATATATTGTGAATAAATTGTTGGGAAAAACTTTTTATTTTTGGTGCTATACTCGCACTCAATATTCTTTGATATGTTGTGTTGCATATAAATGCCGATCGAAACTGAATTTTTGGTAGTTTTTTATTATTGCTTTGAATTTTGATATTTTGCTATTGAATATAAACCATATCACAAGAAACATTGTACGGTATTCTCTCTATTCTGTATTCAATATTCTATGCCTCTCTCTCTCTCTCTCTTACATCCTCATAGCTGTCCCTTTGCTCCCTCTGTGCATTAATATTCTATCTCTCTCTCTCTCTCTCTCTCTCTCTCTCTCGATTCTGTGACATATAATGAGTGCAATATTGGAATAAAAATTGTGATTCATTTTGATTCATAAATCATTACATTTTTTGAGACACTTTCGCTTATTTATCGGTCACTTATTCTAAATGACAGTAAATATATATCGATAACTCATTTCCCACTTTTAGCCAAACATGTTCTGCACCTATGATTTCGTATATAATCGTACGTAATGTCAAAATCTGGGCAAATATATGATTATTAGAGAAAATTATATATTAAAAGCACTATTTGTGTGCTTATAAAGTAATGTAATGCTAATTTGGTGTACAAAACAGACTGTGAATTCATTTATTGAGTCCACTATTAGGTAGACTCACGTAAATGTTGAATATGTTTTGAAATGCAAATATATTAAAATTCATTATATTTTCATAATAATTATAACAAAACTTTTTTTCTACAAAATATTATTTAGTGTTTGAGTTTAAAAATAATTGTAATTTTAATTTTAGACTTAATTTCATATTCAACTCTCATATAAACATAATATAGCACTTAAAGTATTCACGTTATTATTAATACCGGTATTAAATTTTGTCAAATATTAATAAAATGTATTCGTTGTTCTTGTTTTATAAATAATTTTTTTCTATAAAAATAGCTACAAAATTAACAGTTATTAATAGTCATTAGAAATCAATTTTAAACATTAAATATTAAATATTTTTGTTGAAATAAGTGAAATAGATTTTGTTATAATTAATATAATTATAGCATTTTATTCATTGGCATTTATCCCAATTTTATCGGGATTTATATTGCAATGAATTAAACACACAATAATTAATGAATGGAAAGCTTAATAGAGATATAAATTGAATTTAGATTTTAGAGGACTTTATAGCCAACGTATATAAAACTCGAACCAATAAATACATGACGGAAGAGATGTTAGCCCTTCTCTGGTCGGTGACAGTGAGTGTCTTTGCTGTGGGAGGAATGATTGGCGGCATATCCGGTGGACTCGTGGCTGACATATGCGGAAGGTTTGTGCTAAACATTATATACAATCCATTCATTAACTATTGGCTCATTGAATACTGATTTGTGGTCTCGAAAAATGACTTTACGATAATAGGAAATGCGGACTACTTCTCAATAATGCGATAGCAATATTCGGTGCAACCCTTATGAGCTCAAGTCAACTCTTTCGCAGCATTGAATGTCTAATTATTGGCCGATTCACTATCGGTCTCAGTTGTGGACTCAACACTGCGCTCGTGCCTATGTTTGTCACAACTCTTTTATTGAGCTTTACTTTTGCGTTTACACTCAAATTAATTGTTTTTTATTTGCTATCAAACATCAGGTATTTGTCTGAAATCGCGCCCATGACTCTCAGAGGAGCGCTCGGTATGGATATTCTCATTACTTTTCAAATCATTTTATGATATATTAAATAAACTCTTCACTGATTTATTGTTTACTTATTGATCGGAAGGCACTGTCAGTCAATTGGGTGTCACAATTGGTCTGTTATTGTCGCAGATATTAGGCCTGCCAGTCATATTAGGCACACGCGATGGTTGGCCTTTCCTATTAGGTGTTGCATTCATTCCAGCGGTACTCCAGTTATTATTGCTTCCCATGTGTCCCGAAAGTCCCCGATATTTACTCATAAGCAAAGGCAGGATTACTGAAGCGCGTTATGGTATGTGTGATGTTGCCTGTGCTGAACAGCACTGACCTATTGATCCCTGTGTACTGTATCGATGATATAACACAACTATATCACTTGTGCTTTCACTTGCCGTTGACTATAGCTTTGCAAAGACTGCGCTGCACTTCCGATGTGGAGGACGACATCGAAGAGATGCGAATCGAAGACAGAGCTCAACAACAAGAAGCCAGAGTTAGTCTCACTTTTGGTCGAATTACTAGCATTTAGTACTTCTAATGCTTTAACTTTATTATTGTTTATATCAGAAAATGACTAATTTCTATAACTTATTATCCGTTGCATTGATTGATGTGCTGTATTACTATTGAGAGCTGTGCACTACTAAAACGCCTGACCCACTAATGCCTGTATTGCAGATAACAATGTTTCAATTGATTGGGAACCGGTCGCTGCAGACGCCGCTTATAATTGGCATAATAATGCAATTGTCTCAACAACTCTCAGGAATTAACGCTATTTTTTTCTCTCTCTCTCTCTCTCTCTCTCCAAATCACTTTTGAAGCGATAATCTCGTGAAAAATGTATGCATACATCTACACATGCATCTCCGGCACCGGCAGTCTCTCATTGCCATCACTTACTGTTTGTGATAGACATGAGCCGTATATTTTTGGTGTATTTGTTTTTTCGCTGATATATAATTCACTTTCCACTGAATTTTCACTGCCGTTTAAACACAGGAAAACAAATACCGATTTTACTCTTAGAAAGTCATCTACTTTTCACTTTCTATTACTATCTCTATCTATCTGTGACTCCGGCCGGCGCTCAGGCACTGGGATAAGGATCGGAGAGAGAGAGAGAGAGAGAGAGAGAGAGAGAGAGAGACGAGGGAAGTGTAAGGAATGTGAGACATGTAAAAATCATTTGGCACTCATGTATCGCACATTAGGGCTCGTATACCATCGCCAGCGTCTGATATATGCCATACGGTATGAGCCCATAGACTACTACTCCCACAACTCACTCACACACTACCCGTTCCTCTCTCTCCCTCTCCCACTATCTCTGTGTGTATATGTGTTTCAAACCCATGAAAAGTCTGGTGACTTTTTTGGGTTTCAAATTTTTTTCGTGTAACGTAATCACGATTGTCTTCGCACAACAGTCTCCCCCATACCAGTGCTCTCATCCGTTTCCCACATCCCTGTGCTCTCGCCCTATCACTCACTGGTCTCTCTTATTATGCATACACTTTACACAACACAAGTCTGTGAAGTCTTGTTGTAAAAGTGATGGTCTTTTCAGACGATTTTTTTAAAAATGATTAGCAGTTTTTTTGTATTTAAAGTTACGTTAAAGTCAGCAAAATATTAGATCTCTCTCTCTCTCTCAAACTGTGGCCATAAACTGACTTAACTTGCATTTCACTCACTTCTTGAATACGAGAGAAAAAATTGTTTTTCTATTGAAATCCAATGTTTTTCATCGGAAAAATGGGAGCAAAATGAACGATGGCTTACAACAGGGGCCGTGCGTTCTGTCGCACCGGTATGTTATGTATTCAACTATACATTGTATGCAAATATCTTAGTGCTGGTGTTGTGGTGGGTATAAGTCCTCTGAGTTTAATGTTAAACATATGTGGGATATGTCTGTGTGTTAGAGACTAAGGACAGAGACGGGGAAGTAGTGGTCACCACAACATTCAAACACAGGCTTTGTGTGAGTTTATAGCAGATACAGGGGCTGACATACCTCCGGGTGAGTACTGGTATGTTATGTAAGGTTACGTAAATGAGAGAGAGAGAGAGAGAGAGAGAGAGAGAGAGA